CTAAATTGATGATGAGATGTGATGAGTAATATCAGCTACCAAAATATTCTACAGAAAGAGAAATTCAAATGCATGAGATGATATTTAAATTTGTTTTTCAGGACTCTATCACAAATTTTAAAAGAGAATTCTGTCCTTATGTTTCAGACTATTAATTTAATAGTAATTGTTTTTGGCTAAAGAATTTATTATTATTATTATTATAAAGATGTGGGGTACAATTTAGGGTTAGGTATACAAACGTTGAATATGCAGGTACACTTGATGAGGTATGCCCCTCCCTCCCCTAGCAGTTTCCCTCAACTGCCAATCCCACTCCCCCTCCCCTGACAGTTTCCCACTACTGTCAATCGCATTCATATAGTATTATAATTGTTCAAGGTCCACTTCTGAGTGAGAACATATGGTACTCTGTTTTTTGTTTCTGTGATAGATCACTGAGTATGATCGACTTTAAATCCATCCAAGTTGCTACGAAGTCCGTATGTTTGTTCTTCTTTATGGCTAAAGGATTTTTATGGTTAATGATTGACAGGATTTTTTTATAAAAGTGAATAACTTTGTAGCAAAGTAATTATTGAATTTATAAATAGGTCTTAAACATACATAACATTGATAATACTTATTTGCTGCACTAAAGTGCTCTTATTTCTAAATGGATATACTGAAAATTTAAAAAATTATTGAACTCTTTTACTATGTGGAAATTGAAAATTAAATAAAAAAATTAACATAGAAGTTAAGATTCTTGGAGTCAGTCACAAATTTAAAAAAATTTTTCAATCCAATATAATGCTTCATATAATCATATATTTCATTTTTAATCTTAGTGATTGACTTGCATCTTTCCATCTTATTTTACATTATCAATTTCTGTATAAAGAAAAAAAATCTACAAATGGATTAACAATATTTATTTCCATAATTATTGCATCTTTTCTTATATTTAGCAAAGAGAATGACTGGTACCGCTGTAGCTTTGTCTGCATTTATTAGGAATTAAGATTTGATGTCCTTAAGCAACTTGGACCCCAAAGCAAGAATCTATACTCTGCAAAGCAATTAAAGCACTTGCAAGGAAAATGTTTTCCTACCACTAGAGAGGGGACATTTACTCTCAGACCCTGAAAGTTGTTATCATTTATGGTCATCAGGGGAAGCAGAGTTACTCATACTCTAGGCACAAAATTGAAAGTGTCTAACTGTTTCATTCTCTTCTCACATACTGGGCTCTGTGTGATTTTGTTAAAGGAAGCATTAAGCAACCTGTCAGCACGTACACATTGGATTAGGGACTCTTATAATGTGGAGGGCTCTGGCCAGTACAGAAAGACATTATTGGGAACTTAGAGGTGAGAGGATAAATGTAACTTAGCACTTTTTGGCTCGAGGAATCAACTATAGTTCTTTTTCTTAGTGTTTTATACCACAGACCTGTTGTTTTTAATTTTCTGAGCACTTAAAACCCACTGTGCTTAAGCCACAGCTCTTATTCGGAACACAACGATTAGATAGTTACAGCTGGTGTGATGCTTAGGTATTCAGAGGGGCTGCATTGCATAGAAACAGGTTCACAAAGTTGGTGTTCCTATATTTTTTCATGATTCATCATATGATTGTCTTGAAGTATTATCATCTGGATATATTTTATGGTTGGAATCAATCATTTAGTGTGTAGCAATATAGGTTATGTCACACACATACACGTTCTTGCACACACACAGAGTTACTGTGACCCTGTAATGATGTAAGAAAAGAATAAAAAATCAATAAGGGGCTGACATAAAATCTTTCAAACACAGCATATTTAACAAGGAAGGAAAACCTGCTTAGCTTGCTGCCTTTTTAATTTCAAGGTAACTTTATTGGTTCACACACTGAATGTCCCTCTAAATCTGATTACAACAAATGTCTAGTTGCCGTACCTCACAAGGTGAATATCAAGAGTTTAGTGAGATAATCCTCCAGTAAATGCCAATCTTTTCAAACAAGGTTTGGGGGAAAAAGTCTTTAGAAATATCAATTATTATTATAGAATATAACTGTTATATAATGATAATATATTTATTATTATCACTGCAACTTTAACACTCTCTTTTTCCTTATATGACAACTTCTCACTTGTTTATTAACAAGCATCTAGAAAAAGTAACCAAAATCATTCTGTCCTTATTCTAGTCCATTTATTCTGATTTGATTGCTGTTATTATTGTTCTCCTGAAGCTGTTATTTTTGTTCTCCTGAAGCTGGGTGTAGCACCAGTGTCGAATAGATGCTCCTTTTGGAAAGTTACTCCATCTTTGGTTTTGGTGACAGCATTTATTTTTCCTTTGTATTGCCAGCCTGTCTATTCCTTAACCACTTTTGTGAGCACTTCATCCTTAGCCCAGCTCTTAATTGCTGATCCCAGTTCTCCATTCTCCCCTTTTCACCTACAAAATCAATTCATTCAATGATTATGGCACCTGCTGTCACCTGTGAGAAGATCCCCACAGCCATAGGTTCATGATTCCTTGTGAACTCAAGGCCCGTATTTCGGATGACTTATTCTGTATCCCAGTCTCCCCCTAACAGGAATGATATTCAGCAGAAATGCACTGATAAAATTGGGTTGGTAGATTAGTGGTGATGGCAAACTAGTTGCTCAACATTTGAAAATCACTCCTACCCAAAAGTAAATGCAATGATAAACCTGCTATATCCCTTGTAAATAACCATATAGTCCCCATTTTAAGAATGGCTCGATAAATTCTCAATTTACATTAGCTAACCTGTTCATTTAAATGCCAAATTCTCTATCCTTTTACCTATAATTATTTGTACATTCAATAGGTTTGGAAGTCATCTTCCTGCCCTATTGCCACAATATCATTTTGTTTAATTATTCCTTTTACCTAACTTTGTCAGTTCTTACTCTGTGTTCAAACCGCTCCAGTTCTACACTTCAGTTGTTATCAGAGTGAAAACAACATAAGATCACTGCCTATTCAAACTTCTAAAATGGCTCCCTCGGGCATAAGCATATACATCTAAACTCTTTTGCATTTTATATAGGATTTATGATGCTGTGGCTCCTGCTTACCTGTCCAGGGTCAAGTCCTCTTCCTTTCCACTTCATATTATACTCCGTATCTCCACAATAATAAAGTATGTTTACTACCCCTCCCTGTTCCTCAGGTCCTTCCATTACCTACTCCTGTGCATGTCTGACATGGCCTCTGTCTAGAATGACAGCATACATATTATTCACCAGAAAGCCACTTGATCTTCCTTGAAATCTCTAATTACAAACTCCCTTACTTCTCTAGGGAGGTCAGGAGGTATCCTTTTATACTCTTCTATATTGTTTCTGCATCTTCTTCACATTTGTAATCAAGTAAATATCCAATTACATTTATATTCAAGTATAACTCCTTGGGTCTTGAAAAGTTGCAATCAATTAACATATGCTCACAAAAAATTTAATTTTATATGGAAACCTTTTACTCGAGAAAATATATACATAGTTATGAAACAAGAGATCAATTCAAATGTTGGTGATAAAAGGTCATATGGATGTAAGATTCGTTTCATCTGTTCTTTAACTGAGACTTTCATTTAAAAGCTGTTTATTGAGTCCCAACTTTGTGACAGAAACTGTCTTTCCCTTGTGGCATGGAAAATAAAACATATTTTCTACTCTTATGGAGTTTATAGATTGGTTTGTCTAGAAAAAAGTAAATAAAGCACGTTAATATTATAGGAAAAAAATCACACAATTCTGTTTAGCAATTAATATATATACTAATGGCATAAATCTGAATCTAAAATAATTTCTGCATGCTTACTGATGTAGAATTTTCTCATTTTAACAGCATATGTGTCACATCAAATATGCAAGTGAATTTTATTTATATGTACATTTGCTTTTTAGAAATTTTATCTTGTATATACCAGAGTCATAATACTTGTGTATATCAATTTGCATTACTAGTAGAACTTTAAAACAATAGCATTTTTTAATTTCCACTAATATAAAAATAGTATGCTCAGATATATAAAACAGAGTGGCAAAAAGAATAAGAAAAAAATTCATAAATGTAATAAGCTATTGGTGTACTTAACAAATAACTTTAAATTTTTAAACAAGTCTCTGTAATAAGATAAAATGGAACCAAATAAAAGCATTTAAGTCAGCATTCGGGCTATTATTCTAAAATATGGCTTAATAATGAAGACAATAAGCTAATTAACTAAATGGAAATTCAGTGATTGGGCTGGCATACATACAAAACTCTGTGTAGAAAGTTCTTACATTTTAGTGAGCTTAGGTGAAAAAGAGACTAGGGATAGTATTCCTCTTACGTTTCTGAAATCATATTTTTGGTGTGTTACGAAGCCAACCCACTCACATACCCAGCGAAATCACTAACTTAGGGGTGTATCAAAGTTCACTTGCTCACTATTATCAAAAAATATAACATGCATACTTCAGCCATAAGATCGAAAAACAGATCGATATTGGAGTAATTCTCTTTGATGAGAAACAGTAAAGTTTTAGTATACTTTGGTAGGAGAGAGAAAAATATATTTGAAAGTAGAATTGCTCAAAAACTTTTTTGAAACCTTGTAGACGACCCCACTAGTTAGATAACTTTTTTTGAAGTTTTCCCTTTTAAAAAATAGGATGAAGCTGGGCTCGGTGGCTCAGCCTGTAATCCCTTGATTGGGGAGGCTGAGGTGAGTGGATTGCCTAAGCCCGCGGGTTCGAGACCCACTTGGGCAATTTGGCGAGACCTCATCTCTACAATAAATCAAAAATTAGCCGGGCGTGGTAGCGTGTGCCTGTAGTTCCAGCTACTTGGAAGGCTGAGGTGGAAGAATCGCCTGAGCCCAGCAGGCCGAGGCTGCGGTGGCCAGGAGCGGCCACTGCACTCCAAGTCTGGGCGATAGAGTGAGACTCCAACTCCAAAAAAAAAGGATGGTATGATTAATGTTTTCAAGAACATCAACAGAAATACCTGGTTTTTCCCATGAAGATCTGGAAAGCCACCGATAAAGACAGACCCTGATCTTGGCAGGCGTTTTTCAGATAAGTGATGACCAGCTTCACTTCTTTCTGTAACCCTCCCTAGAATAGTCAGTTTAGCTTCACATGGATCCAATTCTTGCCTGCAACCATTTAGAAAGAAATTTATGGTTTTGGTATGCGTTGTATAAACATTTGTCCAACCAATTAATGAAGCTATTGCCAAAAGAAGAAGAATTTAAATAAATAGATTATCTTACCATAAAACCAGCAAAGCCAGAAGTAGGTTAATCTGTTCCAAATTAGAAATCCTTAATGCTTTAAGTACATAAATGCAAAGTTAAATTTTGACGAAACAACACATTGTAGCAATTGCCTAATGAATATTAGTTAAATTAAATTAATAAAATTAATATTGATAATAAACAGATCTTTCTCAAAGTGACTGAAACAATGGTAGAATATTTCACTTGTTTTCTACATTGTTGAATTTTCTGTATGAGTGTAAAATATGTAAAATGATTAGGTTTAAATGTGGTTATACAGTGCACAAAGTATTCTTTAGTGAAAATCAGAGTTTTCAGAGTAGTTAGCTGTGGAAATATAAATTATATTTGTATTTATAGTAGAAAATATAAAAATGCATATACAGTAGTACTATGCTATAGTAGTATGTAGAAATATAAATGATACCAAGAGGTAAAACATGTAACATTAAACATAAATAAATCAAATATAACATAACTAGGAGTCTCAGAGTAATAATTCCCATGTGCCTTTTGTTTTTTATTTGATGGCTGAGGAAGACAAAATACTTCATCAATACTCTAGTACATTGATATACATGAGTCATTTACTCTGTCCATAAGTATAGCTAATCATCCAATCCAGGGATTTGCAAACCATACCCCTTGACTGCCACCTCTTAGTAATGACAGTTTATTTGGAATAGAGTCACATGCTTATTTATATATACTCTATATCTACTTTATTTTTTAATTTTTATTATAAAGATGTGGGGTACATTTCAGGGTTAGGTGTCGGTGACCAGCACTGACCAAGGGTGGGTTAGGACCCGCACCAGAGAATCTGGACAGCGAGAAGACCACTCGGAGGCAGATCTTCTGGGAAGTCTGATCAGGACTGGAGCCGATTTTATTCAAACATTTTCCAACTTATATACCATTTTCTATACCCTCCAGCAATGTGATAATCACTCACTGGGGGCGTACAAGTTTCGTGCTTTACAAACTATGCATCACAAGACCACCACGAGATCTGCAATTTCCAAGCAAACAATTCAAATTCCATGATGCCTGCCGTGCTTACATTAAGGTCACAGGTGCACAATTTCAATACAAATCGTTCAAAGTGTTTTCCATAATGTTCAATGAATCATTCATATTATACTCTTTGCTCTATACCCTAATTAATACAAAAAACTTTCCTGAGTTAACTCTAGGTTCAATCCAAGTTCACTGATTCCCAATATTTTTAACAATTAATATTATCAACTTAACACTACTATAATCTATAAGTTTAGTTAAATGACTTAACTGTCAGTTATACTATTAACCTATTATGATTTAACATAATGCCTTATAACTCAGTTAAAACTTACTCTTAAACTACCAAACTTTACTATAATTCATATGTTTCATATGTCTAAACTTTAATTTTCATATGATCTAGTTATTGGACTTTAATACTATGCTATATCCTATTAAGCTAATACCTTATCGTTAATTCTTTTATAAATCGTATAGTAACTATTACACTTGAATAATGTAGCAAAAGGAAACAAAACAGCAAGCATAAATTTATGCAACTATGAGTGTATATGTATATATTTTATCCCAACAAGTCTACTCTAAAAATCAAATAGTAGCTGTCACACTCTTGAACAAGGAAATGCAGGGCTTCCAAGATGGCGGCCATGGGCTGAAGCAGACAGAGTTTTGGTAATTAACGAAACAAAAGAAAACGTTCTACCTGGCTAGGGGCAGGGCTACAAAACTATCATGGTAATTTAGTTTCTAATCTTAGCCCTAGGGGAAACAGCTTTCGGGAACAAGAACTGACTACCCAGTCTACCAGGAAATAGAAGTTAAAAAATATCTAGAAAGAAATAAAACTTAGAAAGACAGAGAGAAATAATTCCGCCATGCACCTTCCATCAAGTGTACTGAGTTTCACTTATAAGTTTTACTGCCATGTATGCACACTGGTCACTAATCACATGCCAATATCATAGGTATAACTGATATCCTATGTCAGAGGCGATCTTCCAGATGGGCCTTTACAGGCCTCAGCCATGTAGCTATAGATGTTGGCTCCCAACAGTTAGGTATATAAACATTGATCATGCAGGTACCCTTGTTGATGAGGTATGCCCCTCCCTCCCTAGCAGTTTCCCTCAACTGTCAATCCCACCTCCCATTCCCTGACAATTTCCCACTACTGCCAATCACTTCCTTATAGCATTATAATTGTTCAAGGTCCATTTATGAGTGAGAACATATGGAACTCTGTTTTTTGTTTCTGTGATAAATCACTGAGTATGATCGAATCCAAATCCATCCAAGTTGCTGCAAAGTCCATTTATTTGTCCTTCTTTATGGCTGCATAATATTCCAATGTGTATACATACCACATTTTTTATCCAGTCCAGCTTTGATAGGCAACACGGTTGGTTCCATGTTTTTGCAATTGTGAATAGAGCTGCAACAAACATATGTGTGCAGATATCTTTTTGGTAGAGTGATTTGAGTTCCTCCTGGTATATTCCCAATAGGAGAATTGCTGGGTCAAACGGAAGGTCAATTTCTAGTTCTTTCAGGAATTGCTTCACTGTCTTCCAAAGAGGTTGCACTAGTTTGTGTTCCCACAAGCAGTGTAGAAGTGTTCCTTTTTCTCCACATCCTCACCAGCATCTGTTGTTTGTTTTATTAATGATGGCCACTCTTACAGGGGTTAGGTGGTATCTCAATGTGGTTTTTATTTGCATTTCTCTGATGATGAGTGAGGCTGAGCACTTTTTCATGTGTCTGTGGGTTGCCTGTATATCTTCTTTTGAGAAGTATTTATTCATGTCTTTTGCCCACTTTTCAAAAGGGTTGTTGGTTTTTTTCCTTTTGGTGCGTTTGAGTTCCTTGTAGATCCCAGATATTAGGCCTTTGTTGGATAAACAGTTGGCAAATATATTTTCCCATTCTGTGGGCTGTCTCCCTGCTCTCTTGATGGTTTCTTTTGCTTTGCAGAAGCTCATTAATTTGATGAGATCCCACTTGTCTATTTTATTTCTTAAGGTATTGGCCTTTAGGGTTCTGAATAGGAATTGGTTCCCAGTTCCAATTTTCATAAGGGTGTCTCCTGCATTTTCTAAGATTCTCATAGTTTGAGGTTTTATGTTTAGGTCTTTGATCCATTTAAGAGTTAATTTTTGTGTATGGTGATAGGTAGGTGTCCTGTTTCAATCTTCTGCATGTGTTCAGCCAGTTTTCCTAGCACCATTTACTGAACAGGTTCTCCTCTCCCCAGTGGTTGTTGTTGGAGGCTTTGTCAAAGATGAGTTTGTTGAGGAATTAAGGTTTTGCTTCCCGAATCTCCATCCTGTTCCATTGGTCTATGTGCCTGTTTTTGTATCAATACCAGGCTGTTTTGATTACTGTAGCTTTATAGTAAAGTTTGAAGTCTGGAAGCGTGATGCCTCCTGCTTTATTTCTTTTGCTAAGGATTGTTTTTTGCTATTTGTGTTCGTTTATGTTTCCATATGAATTTCTGTACTGTCATTTCCAGGTCTGAGAAGAATGATGTTGATAGCCTAATAGCATGGAATATTTTTCTATTTGTTTGTGTCTTCTTGGATTTCTTTAAGCAGTGTTTGTAATTTTCATTGTAAAGGTCTTTCACTTCTTCTAGGAAGATGCCGAGGTATTTCATTTTTTGGTGGCTATTGTGAATGGGGTTGTGCTTTTTTTGAATCTCTGCCTTCTTGCTGTTGGTGTAAAGGAATGCGCATTTATTTTGTACACTGAGACTTTGCCAAAGATATTTATCAGTGAAAGCAGGTTTTTGACAGATTCTCTTGGATTTTCAAGGTATAGGATCATATCATCAGCAAAAAGGAATAACTTGACCTCCTCTTTTCCTATTTGCCTACCCCTGATTTTCTTCTCTTGCCTAACTGCCTGAGCTAGGACTTCCAACTCAATATTGAACAAGAGGGGTGAGAGTGGGCAGCCTTGTCTTGTTCAAGTTTTCAGGGGAAATGATTCTAGTTTCTGTCCATTTAGCAATATGTTAGCTGTGGGTTTGTCATAGATGGTGCTTACTATTTTGAGGTATATTCCTTCTATACCTAGGTGTTTGAGGGTTTTTATCAAGAAGGGATGCTGGATTTTATCAAAAACTTTCTCTGCATCTAATGAGATAATCATGTGGTTCTTGTTTTTACAACTACTGATTTATTTAATGACATTTATGGTCTTGCGAATGTTACACCAGCCCTGCATCCTGGGGGTGAAGCCTCCCTCATCATGGTGGATGATTTTTGAGATGTGTTTTTGTCCGATTTGCTAGAATCTTGTTGAGAACTTTTGCATTTATATTCATAAAGGATATTGGCCTGTAACTCTTTTTTGTTGGATCTTTACACGGATTGGGTGTCAGTTTGATGTTAGCTTTGTAAAATGATTTGGGGAGAATGACATCTTTCTCAATTTCCTGCAATACTTTCAGTAGGATTGGTATCAGCTCCTCCCTGTATGTTTGTAGAATTCTGCTGGAAAGCGCTCTGGTCCAGGACTTTTTTGTAGGTAGTTTTTGTATGACAGAGTCAAATTCCTGGATTGTTATTAGTCTATTTAGTGACTCAATGTCTTCTTGTTTTAACATGGGGAGGCTGTGTGATGCCAAAACATCCTCCATTTCATCTAGGTTATCAAATTTGTTTCCATATAGGTGTACCTAGTAATCTTTGATAATCTTTTGTATTTCTTCGGGGTCAGTTGTGATTTGATCTTTTATATTTCTGATTGTGTTTATTTGGGCTTTTTCTCTCTTTTTCTTAGTCATTCTGGCTAGGGGTCCATTAATCTTGTTTATTCTTTCAAAGAAACAGCTTTCTGTTTTGTTGATGTTT